CCCCCCCTCCCTTCTTGCTCTCTCTCGGCCCCCCCCTCCCCTGTGTGTGTGTGTGCATGCTGTATGCTGTGAGGCAGTGTGGGTAGCTCAGCGCAGCAGCGGCACAGTCCTCTCTGTCTCTCTCTGTGGGATGTCCGGGCTCTGCACACACCAGGACTAGGCCCAAACACACGTTTTGGGAGACCAAGGCCACCCCTTGGCCACCGGCCATCGGTTTGCACTCGGCCGCAGATCGGGACTCATATTGTTCTTGTTTTTAGTCGGACCTTCGTCCCGATCTGCACTTCTTTTGTTTTCTTTCTTCCTTTCCGAGACCTCTCTCCCCAAATCCCAAAACAAAAAAAGAAAAAGAACTCTCCCAAAGGCTTGGACCATTTCTCCGTTCGTGCGTCTCAGGGTATACTCGCACCAGCCCATCAAAATCACAGATTGGCAAAATCAGCGGACGGATAGAGTCCGCCTTATAGAAGAAGTCGATTGGGCGCTGAATTTGTGATTTGCGATTTTGAGGGCCTAGTGCGAGTATGCCCTCGTCCTTGCAAACTGGCCACGCTAATATTGGACCTCGCTTCCACTACGCATCTCTCTAAATGCATCTGGACGTAACAATGGTCGCGATGCGTTCAAAATGTTTGCCAGTCCGGATGACAATGCTCCCGGTACATTCAAAATGTTAGTCAGTCCGGATGAATCTGATCCTGTATCCGTCCAGATGCATTTCGAGTGTTGTGTAGCGACCCATGATCTGTATCTTTTTTTTTTTTTTAATGTTCTTCTTATGGTTTTTGGAGAGTCCTTATTGGTCCTGATTTCCGCCCGTATTCAGACGCAAACATGGTTTTTCCTACCTTCTTCCCGCGAATACAACGTATGGTCATTATAGCTGTATTTGGGGTATATTCCAGTCTAAATACATCTATAATGACCATATATATGTTGTCTTTGGTGAAAGAAAGTAGCTCAGAGGTGCCTTGTTCACAGTGTCTGTTCAGTTGGGTGGGTGTCAAACACCTTATAGAGCATACTAACACTATGGCCTTTTGGACTGCACTCTGGCCGTGATTACGGTCAGATGCATCCACGTCTGGCCGAAATTGCAGTCAGATACATTTAGGAAAGTGCCTGTGTGAGTATGGATGCACTGAGCAACTTCTGTGCACATTAGGACAGTTTGGCCACATCTGGAGTTACTTTTGTCCTGTTTGCGTGTTCGTGCAGGGCAGTTTCTCCACACCCGGAGGGTTTGAACCTGGTCCACATGTACGTCCAGATGCAGGTCCAGATGTAGGTCCAGATGCAGCAAGGTGCCTGGATCCAAGAGCCCGCCCAGGTCCAGATCAACTTCAAGGGCAGTTTCTCCACACCAGCAGGGTTTGAACCTGGTCCGGATTTATGTCCAGATGCGGCGAGGTGCCTGGATCCAAGAGCCCGCCCAGGTCCAGATCAACTTCAAGGGCAGTTTCTCCACACCAGGAGGGTTTGAACCTGGTCCGGATTTACGTCCAGATGCAGCGAGGTGCCTGGATCCGAGAGCCCGCCCAGGTCCAGATCAACTTCAAGGCTGGGCCTGGGCACACAAGGGCTAAATGTCGCTCCACAGCAGACAGGACCATAAATTGGGAGGAGGTCAACTGGGCGGCTGAGGACTGTGGGAACCATGGGACCACCACCGGAAAGTGGGCCCAGACCTGATACCTATCTGGGACTGAACCAGGCATTGTTGGACATTCAGTCATTTGCATTATGGACTCGGAGGGCGATCGTCATCAGGTTGTCGGAGCACAGCATTGGCGTAGAGGAGATGGGTGTAGAGGATATGCGAGTGGGCACTTGAGTGTAGGGAGAGTGTTGACATGTGCGGAGAGAGAGAGAGAGAGAGAGAGAGAGAAAGAGAGAGTGACGCACCTTTGGAGTGATCGCTGAAGCTCCCATCGGAGCCGGACTGCGACCTTTTACCTGCACGACATCAGCGGCTCAAGGCGCCACCTTTCGGTCAGTATTCCACTGCGTGAGAGACACAGAGAGACAGAGAGAGAGGGGGGCAGGGGGAACGCAGAGGGCACAGAGCTTTCTTCCACTTCTTCTTCTTCTTCTTCTTCTTTTCTTCGTCTAATCAAGGCACTTCCTTTCAGTCAGTATTACACTGCGACAGAGAGACACAGAGAGACACAGAGCAAGAAACAGACAGAGAGAGACGGAGAAAGACAGAGAGAGAGACAGAGAGGGGAGGGGGGGGAGGAAGACGACACAGAGTATTCTCCTCTCTTCTCTCTTCTTCTCTCTTCTTCTTCTGCCTCTCGAGGGATCGACAAAGACATCTGGCTGCGGCTTAACAAGTCAACACATCATTTTGGGAAGAGCTTTGCTCTCCCGAACTGCGATCTTCTGAGACATTGCGCTGCGAAGAAGTATTAACACGAAGACGGGATTTTACTCGTGGAGACTATTATTTTATCGAAATTGCCACATCTTCATCTCACCTTCTACTTGCACTGTTCATCTTCTTCATCTTCTCCCCACGTACGAGTGAGTGAAAAGGTTCTCGCCATCGTCTTCGTCTTCACCCCAAGTACAAGCATGCTCCCCTCTGCATTGGCGTATGCGTCGATTCTCTGCCCGCACTGTCTTCCGGGTGTGTCGAGCACGTACATTGTACTCCTTGCGTCACTGCATTTCATTGAGCCACCCCTTCCGTTTTGCGCACCCCCTCCCAAGCGTCCAATCTCAGAGTCGTGTGGGAGGGGGTGCGCAAAGGGGGGATTAAGCCACCCCTTTTGGATTTAGGTTGACCAAGGGGTGGCTCAATCCCCCCTTCCCAAGCGTCCAATCTCAGAGTCGTCGACTCGTGACTCTCTCTCTCTCTGTGTGTGTGTGTGTGTGTGTGTGTGTGTGTGTCTCAGCCCCACCCCCCTTCTCTGTATGCATGTAAGAAATCTGCGAACATCCTCATCGCCCCCGCAGATCTTTTTTTTTTTTTTTTTTTTTCCGCAGATCCATCCATATCCAATCGGAATACAACAAAGTGCAAGGGTGGCCACATTTGTCTGGTAGCACAAAGTGCCCGCACACCCATCTGGCCGAAATGGCGCGCTTGCACATAAGAGAAAAGGACATAAGAGAAAACGGGGTAGGGCCCAGTAGGCACCGAAAAAAGGGGGGTAGGCAAGAACCCATGCTCACCAACGAGCATTGCACACCCAAAGACAATCATCATACGCCAGAATAACCCTTTTCTGTTTTTTTCTCTTTTTTTTTTTTCCTTTTTTGAAAGAATATTTTATTGACTTCAACAAAACAAAGTCCAGCCTTTGCACGGTGCAGCATGTTTTCCCTGCGGGACAGCGGTCGGTCCTCATGCCATCACACACCTGCCACCTGCCCGGCCAGGCCCACCAGTTTGCCTTGGTCCCGGGGATCCATGTTACATGCCCCACACTTTCACCTTTTGCACAGTACAGTTACAGATACTGAATAATGGATTTATCCATTGATTGATAATGGATACATCCATGAACAATGGATTTAATAAATTAATGCCTAGGCTACCAGAGTGGCCCGGGGTCACTTGCCCGGCCGGGCCAAAAAAAAAAAAAAAAAAAAAAAAAAAAAATTTTTTTTTTTTTTTTTTTTTTTTTTTTTAAAGAGAATTTTTTTTTTTTTTTATTTTAAATTTGGTAAAGAATTTCGACGTGACCCTGAGGCAAAAGTTGTTCAGTTTATTTTTCTGCATAACATAGTTTTTTTCGTTTTTTTTTTTCTTTTCTTTTCTTTTCTTTTTTTTTTTTGCTGGGACCTTCCTTGGTCCCTTGCACGGGCTGGCCACCCGGGACCCGGGCGGCTCGGCTGGTAGCCTAGATAATTTAATGCCGATTTATCCATGGATAATGTATTTATGCATGGAGAACGGATTTAATATACGATCTATCCATGGATAATGGATAAATCTATCCATGGTTAATGGATAAATCAAATCCATGGAGAATGGATTTATGCATGGAGAACGGATTTAATATACGATCAATCCATGGATAATGGATAAATCAAAATGGATAATGAAAAAAGGATAATGGCTAAAGCAAAATGGATAATGAAAAAAGGATAATGGATAATGAATAAAGGATAATGGATAATGGCTAATGGATGTCATTTGGGACATGCGATAAAATTGAAATGATACAGAGAAAGAGAAGATTAGCATGCGGTTTTGTATAATAATGATTTGTTGTTGAGGCAAAAAAAAAAAAA